AAAATGTTATAGAAGTCAGTTTCTACCAGCAACTGTGACAATTTTCTTTTTTGGGTGAACTACCCCTTTAAAAGTTTGAATTAGCTTTATTTTTACAGTTTTAGCTTTAATTTTCATTTAATTTAAATAATGATATGTGCTTTTTTTTTATTTGTATTTTAAATTAAATACATTTAGTATTTCAACATTTCAGTTAGTCAGGTAACATTTATAATTTTTCCAAGTTATTTATTTATTTATTGTTTTTAAGTTAAGTTTATAGTCTAAGCTTTCAAAGTTGAAGGAATTAATCTAATATTTATATTTTATTATATTTCAGCTTTTATTTCAATTACTGAAAACAATTTTTAATAGTTTTAGTTTTAGTTACCCAAACATATCTAGGAACCAGAATATCTTTGGTTATGTTCACACTGCGCAATATTCAAATGTATGACAAAACTGTGGAAAATGCTGCACGTAATCAAGTCCATTCATATCCTGAATTCATTGAATTCATCATGCGTCAGACATTGCTTTAGGATTTATACATTTGTGCAGAAGCTGCGGCTCACTTGCTTCACTTGCTTACTCATTCACCATTCAGTGCATAGTGAATGTCACATTAAAGCCACAGGAAACAAGAAACAGGAAATGACATGATAGAGAGGACTCTGTAGACCCTCATGATTGTGTGCCATGTTCAATAAGCCTCCTACATACCTCATAACTCTTACTCTGCCAATTTATACAAGGCAAGGTAAGCACATTTTTATGTGGTGCAACTCTACAAAAAAATAAATAAAAATTTTATTACTTTTTTCCATTATGGTCACACCACATGATTTTTTGAGTCAATAAATTAAAACATTTCTTAAAAATGGTATACAAATTTTTCAAAACCATATAAAGCCAACATGAATACAAAGTCTGTTACAAGGAAAGTGTGTCTTTTTAATATATTTCTACTTAGTAATTTAGTCATTATATGTATGTGTGTGTATGTGTGTGTGTGTGTGTGTGTGTGTGTGTGTGTGTGTGTGATTTTAGAGAAAATAATGGTAAATTGCAACAGTACTTATATGTACTGATTCATTACTCGGGTTTTCTTTCTTGACAGAAATGGCCAGCAAAAAAAAGCATGATGGTATTACCATGGTTATCTGGATATGATACTATGGTAATACCTTGTTTTGGATATGACATGGTATCATTTAATACCGTAGTATTACCTTCCGATACAACTTTGTTGTGGTACTGACAGTACTTTTTTGATGGAAGGAGGAAAAACACATTTTGCTGATGCTTTTTTTTTCCAATATAAAAAAAAGCAGCCAATCACATCATCAGGAAGAGGTTTGTACATGATGGATGCTGGAACAAAAGCTTAATTGGCATCTTTTGTGTGACTCAAGAGAAAGAGCTAGAATCAGACGCAATCCCCTCAACACTGATGTTGACACACACTGATGCCTGACTCGAGAAAAAGCCCATTATTCATTCAACAGCTGTCAGGCCAAAGAGAGAACAGGGAAAAGGCTTTGTATACAAAAACAGATTTGCACCCGTGCAGTAGTATTTGACTACACCCAGTCGCAGAACTGGTGCACGAGCTTCCCTCTCGAGCGGACA